GGAAGACGTTACATTTAAAATGTAGATATTCGGGGTTCTAACAGGTATGGATCCCAACTTAAAAACTAAAATATATAGATGCATATGTGGCGATAAAAATATAAAATGAGTTTCGACTATGAAAAAAAATGGAATTAAGGAAATACTGATAAGCGGAGCTTGCATTTTTAACGCACCAAAGTTCTCATACAACTCTAATAAGAATCAAAGGGGTTTGCTTTTTGGAAATCGCTCCCATAACTTTATAAACACACAAAATAATGTCTTGCAATTTTGCTTTCTTCTGATATTTTGAGTTTGAGTTTGCAACCAAGTCTCGTACCACCTTGTACAATTTTGTTACAAATTTTTGTAATCGTCTTAAAAGCTTTCCTAACCTTTCAAGATGCAACGCTCGATTTTCATTATTAGAAACTTTCATTACTTAAAATGTTTCTCAAGCTACGCTGTTGGTCTCGGGCCAGTCGGGTGATTAATCCGTCTCAAATCTCCGATGAAAGACGCACGTTTGGTCCCCTTTAACGGTTTTTTTTTTAAAAATGTGAAAAATTTTTTACTAATATCGATGCCAAGTTCCTAAATAAATCAATACTTTTAGAATATCTTACGGATTTCTCTATAGATTGTTATGTAAAAATGGGAACGTAAATATACGCTTAAATAACAAACACATTTCCCGATTGCCTTTAAGAGTCCGCCACAATGCAACTCTGCCGAACATTCAAGAGAGAGCTCCATCTATGGAAATAACTAATATATCCGATATATTTTGTTACGCATCACATGAATCTTTATAAAAACAAAAATGTCTTCTGAAAGCTATAAAAAACTAAAAAGTTTCTTTCAATAATTTTTTTTTTATTTTTTTAAGTTACATATATAAAGCCAAAGCAGCCAAATCGAAATTTCCTAAGATCAATTTGCAGCTCGCAGTTAACATTTATGAGATCGCTAGATGAAAATAAGTTTGCCGTGTCATCAGCGCACGTCGCAATTAAAATATTGTTTTAATGTACAGTCGACCAAAATAGTTTGCTTAGAAAGCTAAAAATGCGACCTATATCTACTTATGCCTTGGGAAAGAGTTGAGGTTTGTTAATGATACGGCAGCGGGGATCATGTGAAGGAACTGGATTTTTTTGCTGCCTCGATACTGTGATGGGTAAGATTACCTCAAAAAGAGGGCTCAATTAGTGACACATTACATTAGACTATGACTTTTTTATCTCAAGCAGCAACATCCTTAAGCTTCATATCGCAATATAAATGATACCATCCAAGCATTTTATTGCGTCTGGAGTACGACGTAATTTGTTGGAGCGTTACTTGTCCTGTTTAATTCAAAAAAAGTTACCCTTGAACCCTCGCGAGTGTAATAATTAGGTGCAAATCAAAAACTCATTAATATTGATGGTTAAACGTTGAATAGCTCATACCATGTGTTTTTGGACTCAACTAAATGCAGTTTGTTATGGGCTAGTTTATGTAAAAAAGCGATTACTGGAGAGCCAAGAATTGAGGCTTATAAGCGTATCACGAAAGGCAGCACTGCAAGCTGCGCTGGTACAGAACTCTGATAAACTCTCGTCGTAACGTCAGTAAGAAAATATGAACCTTTTTGTGGATAGCATCAAAGGATCAGTTCTTTGTTCGATGTACGCAAAGACCCGCAAAGCGATAGTTGCTTTGTTTTCCCAAAAAGGTTCTAGGATAGACCAAAAAAGTTGGACTACCTTTACTTAGGATAGTGCTATACTTCAGAATATCTATATGGCATTTCCCCTCGAGCTTTTGCGGTTATTGTAACTGCATTTGTCAAGTTTTGCTTACACTCGGAATAAGTTCAATTGTAGGCAGCCTCGTATCAGTTTTATGCGGTCGTATTATAAGCAAATGTGGTTTCCAACACTCGCAAATAACGAAAGTAAATAGGCTTACCTTTCGACAAAGAGTATGTAACCTACAGTCTGCAGTCTATGCAGTTACAGATGCAAGAAGTGCAAATAATTGAGAATCTAATTTTCCAAATCCGTTATCTTAGTATACCGCTTTTAATTCGCATTATCTTTTCAAATTTACACTAGCAACTAAATCAATAGTTTTTCTACATAGCAGATCTAGAATTTTGCAGAGCTTCATTTCAAAATACTACTAGTGGGATTGGGAAAGATAGTTGATGTTTGTTACTTTTGCTTATTATAGAGAAAGGCGATTAAAATCGGGATAAAATTCCTTTAAGAATTGTTTTGCCTGTCATCACCAAAGTGTTTGATTAAATGCAATCACATAAATATGATTTTCGATTTTGAATTGATGCACCCGTCCGTTTTTAAACAGGAAATGATTGCATCAACTTTCCATAGACTAAAGGATGAAGCCTCCATCTCAAGTTCTCATAGATTATTAAAGCTGAAATTCTTCACACATAATGCATAGGGAGATATAGAGAGAAAGAGAGAGAGAGAGAGAAAGTAAGTAAGTAAACTCATTACGTCGTCTTTAATTTTCGCTTCATTTTCTCATTAATCAATTCAATTGCAAAAACTTTATTTCCAGTTGTTCCCATTATTATATATAGATGAACATAATTTTCATTGCTTTTCCTCTTCGTGCAGCTCTACACAACATGCGAGAACTATGCAAGAGAAACCCAACCATTTAACTGAAATTTTAAATATATTATATAAGTAAAAAAAAAAAAAAGAAGAAAAAAAACAATCGCGACTTCTCCCAATGCTTACTGATATGAAAAATGGCATCGATGGCAATCGATATATTCCACACAATCATCCTTACTTGGTCCAACTCGGTGTTTAGATGTACGCAGCCTTTACATTTCAAGGGATATATAACGCAAGCAAATAGAACCGCGATTTTAAAGCAAAAGAACAAGAAATAAATAAATTCCCAAGCAATTAGGACCATTTTCTTGTGGGGAAAGGTCTAAAAATCGACAGATGGTACCGCATGGTGCGCATGCTTTAAATAAGAAATATAACTGATTACAAAATCGTATACTAACCAACGGCGATGAAATCAATAGAGCGATATTGAAAACTGTAAAAATGATGTTGATAATGATGGCAAAATCCTGCCAACCTCTGGGCGCTTTGAACAAGAAAAAAAAAAGGGAATTAAGCCGCATATCCTTGATAAGGAAATGAAATGAAATTTTTGGAAATTATTTACCTATTGTGGATGGTAAGAAGAAAAAATCATTATTCGTGACGGCAGTTTGATTCCGATTGTTCCGCGTAACAAAGTTAAAGTATTCATTGTGGACGAGGTAACGAAAAGATTCGCTGTCATAATAATAACATGGTTTAGCTTCGCGGGCTCGTTTAGTTGTAAACTCCACTAAATAAAAATTAAAACCGTTCTCAATAAGACTCACTACTGCAACTAATAAGCAAAACAATTTTAACGGCATTTCATGACACATTTCTCTATATATTTTGATTATGAAGCAATTGGAAAAAACATGTTGTAAAATATAAATAAAAAAAAAAAAAGAAGACAGGTTGTCTATGTATTATTTGTAAAGACATTTATAGATATGAAAACAATTTGTTTCGTCTTTCAAAAAAAGGCAAATTTTTATATAAAAAATTGCTTTTAAAAGGAATTCCCGATAATTTTCAGCTTCTTTGCTCAAAATGTAAAATATTAGAAAGAAATTTAAAGAAAAAAATTATTTACAATTAAGACGACTGCGTAATACACTAATTTTTATTACTTAAGTCTTTTTACTACAACTCTATATGGTAGATGACCCTATAGGGCCAGTAAGGGAGCCAAGAGTCTACGGTAAGGCATTACAGCTCTTCTGTCGTTTTGCTTGTCCCGTTAAGGCAAACATCATATAGCAATACTCACAGGAAATTAATTTGTTTTATTAGTTTTTATGTAAAGCAAAAAAAAAGTACGTGTCCGTCTGTCATCACTTGGGCTTTTATTAATCAGAAATCGTTGATTCTATTGCCAAGTCTTAAACAGTAGGCTCCACTATATCACTACGGCTCGTTCCATTTTATATGAATTCATATTGCACGAGTTACTTAGATGGTACGGAGGATTCACAGCCAAAGCTGTTAATTTACTTGCTATATTTAAAGTAACTTTCTATAGTAATTAAGCTTAAGATACTACGTGACAATAATTTTTATGGCCAGTAAATAACAAAAAATATATATATTTTTTTTTTGATAAGAGAGAGAGAGAAGGAGAGAAATGTATAGGAATTTGTCAATTTATATTTTCTAGCTCATTTTTCAACATGTTATACGAGCCGATTTTACCGTGTTATACAAACACTGGTGCGATTTTTTTTGCCATCTTATACGAATATCTGGAGTATTAAATCTGAAGTGGTGTCTCTCGCGAAACTTTCAAATTTAGGTCTTTCCAATTGCAGTCACAATAAGTAGTGAAGTGCTGCCTCTCCCGAAACTTTCAAATTTAGTGCTTTCCAATCGTAGTCACATTTAGTCCACGTATCTATTCAATTAGGTATTCTAACGGTCCGAATATTTTCGCCTTCAAGAATTCAGTCAAAGGACACCAGTCAGTCTCTGACTACAGAGATTTCAGATACATGTACTCTGTCTGTCTGTCTGTCTGTGTGTCTCTCCTTCTCTCTCTCTCTCTTCTCTCTCTCTATCTCGCCTCTCTCCGTATCTCTCCTCTCTCTCTCTCACTCTCTCTCTCTCTCTCTCTCCTACTTTTTTTCCTCTCTTTCTCTCTCTCTTTTCCCTTCTCTCTTCCCCTTAAAATGCATTTCAATTCTTTACAAGAGCCTGCTTGCCTTTTCACTGAGCTACAACCTTACAGAGTGTTAAGGCTAAGAAAAGCCTTCATTTCGTAAGATTTCAGATGAAACCATTACAAATTTATTTAACTGTTTTTTTTTTTATCTCAATAATTTTTGAGATGCGATTGTATCTTGCGTAAGGTCGCGAACCGGTGAAACGAGTAATAATAAGTCCTTAAATATTCCTTACCTGTACGGAGTTGGCTGAAGAGAAGCTCATATTATTTGATTCCTGAGTGGGTGTGCGATTACGCTTTCGTGGGAGGACATTTATTAAATCATTTACATTTTCTTTGCTATATTTAGTATTATTAGTTTTGTTGTTGTTATTATTAATATTACTGTTATTAATATTATTATTATTATTATTATTATTATTATGATTTAAATTTTTATTATTAAATAATGAATTTGTTTGCATTAATAAATTATTGTTACCGTTAATTACAGCCGAGTTATTGTGAGATTCATTTTTAATAACTGCGTTATTTTTATGAAGTTCATTAAGGCAATGATCATCATTATTATTGATATCATCATGATCATCATCATCATTATCATCATCATTATCATCATCATTATCATCATTATTATCGTTACTGTTACAAACGTTATCATTCAATTCATTATTAAGAGTTTTTTCAAAATGTTTTATAGTCGGAATTGATGATACATTGTTAACTATTGTTGCTGATAACGATGGTGTCGTTATTGTTGTTGTTAGGGCTGGGATTGTTGCGGCTACTACCATATTAGTAGTAACTGGAGTTACTGAGTTAGTTGAAATGAGCGAAGAGGTAGAAATTGAGTGAGAAATTTTATTAGGTTTAGTAGTAGATGTTACTAAAGTTGTTGATTGCTGTTGTTCTTGTTGTTGTTGATGATGTTTTAGCTCTTGCTGTTCACTATTCATGAGAGCGGTCGATGATGTTGCTGTTACGGTCGTACCCATGTTATTAGTAATAGCCGCCATGATCGATTGTGAACAAAATTGAAAGCTGGTGCTATTGTTAATATTATAATTGATTTGCCGATGATGTTGTTGATGCTTTTGATTATAATGATTATTAGGCTTTAGCTGATTTCGCATATTTTTTGAAAATAATTTCTACTTTTTTTCTTTTTATTATTTGTTTTCTTTTCATATATATATACATATGTATATATATACATATATATATATAAATATATATATATATATATATATATATATATAAATTTCAAAACAAATTAAAGAAACATATTTTATTAAAAAGATAAAATTTTTATTACACCTGCATTTGCATTAATTTCCTCAGCTTTTGAGCAAAGTTCTTTCTACCTGAAAAAGAAAAATAAGAATTTATTAATGCTTATAAAATAAAAAAAAAAAAAAAGGAAAAATGAAAAAACAAATAATGCTAATAACCCACACGAAGAAACGAATATATTAAAGAATATGTTTGTAATCAGAGCAAATTTCTTGAGTATGAGAATTCTTGTACTTACACGTAATGTTGGCAAAAGCAAATGCGATTTTTCTCAGTAAAAAGTTAATACAAACTGCATAAACCCCCCATCAACAATGTCTATGTATTTAAATCTATTTCGATGCAGAACATTTACACTGTTTGCCAAGCTTTAGCATTTTTGATTAGACATGTATAAGGTCCGCAGTAGATGCTTGATACAAATCGAAAAATCTCATAACTTGACTAACGATTTACTCGTCCTTCACCTTTCTCTATTAAGTGCCAAAGTCAATCAGGGCCGCTCGTAGACTAAATTATTTATAAACAACAACTTACTTCTTAACGGTTGCTTGTGGCAAAGCCTTTCTTTCCTCTTTAATAACAAAGTATCTTGTTTTCCTTTTATTAAACCCACCACTGTAAGATGGGGGTAACATGCAAAAGGAAGCTTCAGAACCCCTATAAAGTATATATATTCTTGATCAGCGTGAAATTCTGGGGTGTTTTAGCCATATCCGTCTGTCTATGTGGTAAGTGTTGTTGGCACTCATCTGGTCACATGAATGAAGATTGTGTCTTCAAATTTGGCAGAAACACTGGCAGTTTCTGCACGCAGGTTTGCATTGAAGATGGGCCAAATTGGTCAGAGCAAAAGCGCGGAATGGAACGTAAACTGTATGCAACTTCTCTTTTCTTAAGAAAAATATTTGGAGTTTTGCTCGTTGCTCGGAAATTCTTAAAGTTGGAAATTTTTCACATTCACTTTACGACACAATCTACTTTTTTTACTCCCGAAAATGAATTCAATCCGCCATGCCTACACAAAGTTACGAGTGAGTAACTAAATTTAATTTTTTCAGTTTTATGCTTACTTATCACAAGGCAAACATCTACCCATCAGAATGGGTTAATTTTAAAATGATTATGGTAGACGTCGCGATCACTTTCTTCTTAATAATACTAGCGATATGAGTATCGAATTAAAGAACTTGTAAAATAGAATGCGAAAGACAAAGTGGTAAGTATGGGAGATTCGACGCCGCCGACTATAACTTTCTTACTTGTTTGTTCTTATCATAAAAGATAAAATTTTTCTCAAATATGTTTTCTCAAGTGGTTTTTATTTTGATTATTTCCTTTTTGTAAAAGAACAACTAAGAATATTATAGTCGGGCAAGACCGACTGTTACGCATGCTTAACCAATTTGCCTAGTACAGTTACTCGCCTCGGTCTCGGTGTATAAATATCAAGATATTTAATTTTCTCTAAAATTTTTATATTTTACTGTTGCGTTAAAAAAATACTTTTAGATTATGCTTGGGAATTTCGGCCTAACATGTGGCACTTTACATAAATGCGCAAATAAGCAAATTTGATCGAAGTTCGGACAATGACTACTTTGAACAATTTTTTGAGGAAAGCTTGTTGTGTCTTGTTGCAGTGGTAAGTTTTTAACCGTTTTATTCTAGTGTTATAGTTCTTGACTTTTCTTAACAACTATTTTTATACTCTATACAGGGGGTTTATTAATATTATGCGCATATATGTAACTTCCGGAAGGACTTAACATAGATCCACTTCACATTATACCGTCCCCAACCGTTTCTCTAGGCACTTTACCTTGGTTAAGGTTAGTCAATGTACATATATAGTTATGAGTTGTTTAACCCGCTCAGAGTTTCTTGCAAGAGCCTAAATAATGTCTATCACTTATTCTCATTATTGGACTCTTTGAAGTCCATTAAAGCAACATTGCTTATTACGCGTAATTTACCTATGTCCTACTTAAACTAGCTCTTAACCTTAAAATGTGACGATGAGGTGTGGCTCTATGCTCTATGTGTACATGCTTTTTTTTCTTTTTTCCCATTCTTATTTGTTTTATTGTACTTATACTAAGTTTTAATATTAATTAATTTAAGATTTACTTTAAGAGTCAATTATACTTGTCTGTCAAATTTTTAGTTGAGTTTCTTGTATAAGTGGAATAAATAAATAAATAAATATATTCAGTTTAAAGATTGCCTGTCAGCCGTTGCGTCCGATAAACATTCGTTAATATTAATATGAATGAATTTTTTGCATCATCCCAAGCTTTCACAAGGAAAAAAGTCTAATATTTAGTACTTTGTGAGGAAAACAAGTGAGGAATGATTACCTCTTTGCAATAGTTGGACTACATTAGCTTATGTGAAGCGAGGCCGACTTCAAAATAAGGACTCTTAGAAAATGTGCACCTTTACATGAAATCGACCTTGCTTGACTATAATCTTTTTATTTGTTTTTTTTTTTTTGTTAGCGGAGAGAACGAACATTATATCAATGGTCTCGTTTAAATGAGATTTTAAGACATTATCGAATTTTCGCATGAATGCTTACAATTAACTGCGACTCTTGATTAACAATGTACAACATACGGTTATATAACATATAACCTAAGGTTATATAACAACGAAATGAAAACAGAAAAAATCAATAGATTTATCGATCCACAAAAAAACCACATTGTTTTGCTCGACAGACAGATCTTAAATATGCGAATTTAAAAGCGCAACTGTCTCAGCTTTTTTGCTTTGGCTTAGTTTTATTCGTTATTTTCCATAGTATTTTTCAAATTTAAAAATAATTAATTATCTAAGGTGGCTGCTAGACAACAGAGAATGTAGATGAATTTATTGAAAGCTTAGCGGAAATCTCGTCTAACGCTTACTAAAGAAAAGGATTTTTTTTTTTTTTCATTTTTATTCACAGACACACACACTATAAGAGCGCCTATAATTTAATAAAGACAGGTAAGATATGTAAATTTTAAGGTCAAGCCGTCTTCCCTTCCAATCATATATTTTGCTTATGTTTCTCGAAAATGAATAGATTGGCATTACGTGCCACCGTCAGAGCTTTCGTTCGATGTTAAATTGAAAAAGGTGGACTCTACCGGACTTATGTGTCTCTTAAGCAAACACGGTTAACATTCGATCGCGGGTGGGCGTATTTTGATTTGTTTTTATATATGTGCGTATATAAATCCATGCCAAGCGCACTTATTATCACATACATTAAATCTTTGGAATGCAGAAAGGTGGTAATTAATGCAAAGTCGTTACAGATTTAAAGAAATTGAAAAGAAAAAAAAAAAAAATATATCACGTATTGGCATATTTTTTATTTATAAACACACACACATATACGCATATGCGCTTATGTAAGTGCATAGGTAGTTGTTCATTTGTTTATAGTCTCGTTTGTATATTCACCTATCCGGCGATTGATGTACAATAATTTTAATAATGCGTATGTAACAACTGCGTTGACGTTGACTTTAAACGAGATTCGTGGTTAATTTGAAATTATCGTCAAACTTCATTTGCACATCCGTTTGCTTGATCTAACTTTTCATTCTCTCCAATGGCTTGTTAAAGATATCAAGAATTAAAGGCGTTTCGAAAAATGATCCTTTTTTCTTTCTTCTTTCCTCTATAAGCACTACCGATAACACATTAGACATGAATATTGTACCTTCTAATGACATCTGTTAGTCAGTCAGTCAGTCAGTCAGTCAGTCAGTCAGTCAACACATGTAGCAGGTGTCGAAGGCGCATACAGCTTTTCGTAGTTGTATTTTCCTTTTTCTTGCGTACCTTTTCATTCAAAGTACACACACACAACCATACATAGAGTTGCACATATGTAAAACAGTAATAACATTTATGGCCAACTCAGTGCATACAAAGCAGACTTGGATTTCTGGATTTAAAATTCAATTCAATTTCGTTTGTTTTGTTTGCTAATACATTTATGTATGTGTTTATCGCTAACAAACTGTCCACAAGAGCTGTTGTGTGTTACTTTGATTTTAAAATAAAAACCACATTAGAAAAAACAAATAAATAAA